ACACACACACACACACACACACACACACACACACACACACACACACACACACACACACACACACACACACACACACACACACACACACAAGGTGACCCCAGTTAACTTTGCTCTCTATGTATAAGCCTTAAAAATTACATTTTATACAAATAGGTACAAGCATACAGTGATTAGACGAAAGTGCAGCAGTGAGGAGTGTAAAGGATAAGGTCAGTCAGACGATAGAAATAAATTCTTATTTTGTACTCCAGCATTCACAAAAGCCACCTTCATTTTGTTTTATGATGTCTGCTCCTTCTCGACCAAAAACCCTTCATCTATGTCTTTATAAAATCGGAGGTTTGCCTTATCAATATCTGTCTGGAGAAGTCAGAACTGGAACTTCCCTGTGTAATTGCGGTGAAGGTTGGTCCTATTGTTTGTCTGTGGGAGGTTCAGCCCTCACGCTTCATTAAAGAGTCATCATTTAAACAGACAAGACAGCTCGCCCTCCGCCTTGTGGATTCAGATTCAGCTCTAGCCTTTGCTTTGCGCTTCATCCACCATCTCTTTCTACTTGGTATGGACAGCTTTGATTTCGCTTTAGGATAAGAAAGTAAAAGGTCATGCAGCGGGTCGTCTCTTCATCTCCTTCCCCTTCATACTGTATCATGCTCCTGGAGGGTCGTGCTTCTTATAGATCCTATTTTCTCCAAAGCGGTCCTCTTTATTTCTCATTTCTGTGCTTTGCTCGCCTTTCTTTCATGCTCTCTGTCTTTTCTTTGTTTTATGTCAGGTCCTCATTGGACCTTCAGAAGTTAGAATTCATTCATTTCACACATCATTTTCTCTCTCTTCACGATTCCACCTCCACGTCTTTTTCATCTCAGACTTTTCTAAGAAATGTTTCCTCTAGCCAGTCCATCATTTGTTCTTCAGACAGTTACAATTGCTCATTTTAGCTTCTTATTGCTCTCTGTTTTCAGTTTTATTCTTCATTAAGCTTGTTTGCTTTTTTAATGCTCACAGAAGTCAGGTCTGGAAAGATGTGAAAAAACGTATCACAGGCAGTAATAGTCTCTGTTGCATGCATTAAATATTGAACACTGACGCAGGCAACATTAAAGACTGTCACACATCAAAACATTTTCATGCCTTGATAATACACCTTCCAAACCTCCTTGCATACTAAACAGAAACAGATTAAATGAAATATATTCTTGTATTACCTTGTTTAAGGATTTAAGGAAAGGGGGAAATTGCAGCCTTGACAGATCGTGGTGTAAGCAATTAGCTGCGATATTCCCTCTCCTTTTCTGCAGTTTTACTCTCTGCACCACTTTCACAGCAGGACATTGTTCAACACAAGATGTGAATGGGCTGTGGAGTGACAAATTGTAAATAACAGTAATTTGCTTGTCGATAACCTTACATAGCAATTATTCAGAAGAACTAATAATATTTGTGGACTAAACTGTGATTGTAGGTAGAAGTCATTCCTGCAAGAGTTATACAATGGTCTCAGAGCCTAAAGTGTTCCCTGCAGTAGAAACAACCCTCAAACACTGCAGTGCCCAGGAAATGTGTGTGTGTGTGTGTGTGTGTGTGTGTGTGTGTGTGTGTGTGTGTGTGGGGTCAGGGCCTGGCTGCATCAGCCTTTCCCACTGCTTGGTGTCCCCAGGCACCAGCTGCCTCTCCAGCCTCCTCTCTGCTGTCACCCTCTGTGCTGCAGGGACAGTCACACCCACAAAGTGAAAGGGCTGAAGAAAAAAAAAAAACCTTGAAACTTGCACGACTTCCAAAAGAGGCTTACCCTGTGTGGTATTTATATACATAACGGGCATAGCAACCTTGTCATCACCCATTGGTCTTTTGACTGCTTATATGACGCCTTGAGTTTGGCAGATTGATGCTACAATGTTGATTTTTCTGGAGCCACAAGTGACCATATTTGGAGGAGAGGGTGGAGTTGGAGAGAAGCGAGGGGTTAACCAAGTTATAAAAGCTATAAAAGAAACAGTCAACAACTGTGGCTAGTTCGTAAATGAGCTACAAGTAGGTAACCCTCATGTTTCTTACAGAGTGCGATTCTATTTATAGTTTGGTAGTTGCTTACCACAGCTGTCTTATTTTATCAGAAAAAAAAGAGCAAAGCGAGCCATGAACGACACAGAAAGCCAGATTATCCGACAAAACTCCCAAAACACGGCAGAGAGGCTGACTTTACTGTTCACAACCAACACAGCAGCCACAACCTACTCATCTGGCACACCACAGACACACTTACTAATTATTTTTTTTTACCATCCGAAGGACTAGTGTATTCTTCCGGTCGTGATATTCCAACTAAAATGGTCCTGCTGAATTGACAAGGGTCCCCACAGTCCAAATCCAGTATAAAATATAATCCTAACATATTATATCCATATTCACTGTTCCTAGGCAACTATAGCCAATGAGAGCCTGAGTAGAAACAGGACTTTCTTTCTCTCCCCTCCATTGCCGGCTTGAAACATGTTGCAGACCTGTCAGTTAAAGAATCAGATACCTACAAGTTTCATTTTTGATGTCAGACTTGGAAACAAAAGTTCTTTACCATATAAGTGCAAAAAAGACTGCATTGCACTGTATGCGTAGGTATAAGTGATCTTATTACTGGTACCACATAATTTAGCATGCAGTAAATTAAATCAAGCACGCATATGAACGTTAAAACGCATTTAGACCCAGGAGCATCATAAATTAAATCAGCTATCCATTTTAAATTAACTGTAGCTTAATTGTCGTAGCTAAATAATTAAAACATACTGCATATTGTATTTACATTAGATGTAAGTGCATACTTTGTTGCACGCATTTCCACATGAACAGATGTGCTTTGTTTAGAGACATGGTTTGGCTGACCCTCTCCCTGTCTGGTCTAATTATCCACCATACAGTAAATACTCAATACATCATGTAACCTCATAAATGAAATTCATTATGGACTGTGTTCTCCCTCACCAAGCTATGAATGTTCTTTCGATTGCATTGTTTGTCTGTTTGAACAATGTTCAGACTCCGTGAGCTCTTTCATCCATTGCGTTAGAAAACAAAAAAAGAAAACATGACCAAGGACAGATCTCACAAACTGACCTTGATTTGCATCAGTGAATGGCAATGCTTTGTATATAAAACAGTTTGAGTCTTCTGCAGTTGCCAAGGGGGACCAAGAAAGATTTTAGAATATTTCATCTGGTTTAATAACAAAGACATTGCACTTTGATGGAAAATAAACACAAAAACCTATTAAAAAGTATACATTAAGGAGCGGTCCCTGGACTTGAGAAAGTGTTAGTTGGAGGTTTCCTCTGCATGGGTAAACAGTACGCAGTCATAAAATATAAGAAAAAGGCCTTTTTGTGATGACATGGTAGAGTTGGTCGTCTCCTAACCCGATGTGTCCTTGGCCATGGTATTAGTTACTTCTGATGTTCACTTTAAATAGCAGCCACTGCCTTCAGTGATTGAATGGGTAGTTGCGACCTGCGGTGTAAAAGCGCTTTGAGCAGTCAGAAGACTAGAGAAGCGCTGTACCAGCAAGTCCATTTTCATAGTTTAAACACAAGAGTTCTTCTTATGTTTAAGTCAGCTGTTTCATTGGAATCATCATGGGGAAAAAACCCTTTAAAATAGTTTTGAAAACATGATAAATGACTGAAATATATATCTGATTAATGGTCACATTCTTACAAAAGTAGACAAATTGTTGGAAAAGTAAGGTTTTGGTAATGATTTATTAGTTGAACAGGTTAGCTTAACGCAATGGATGAAAGTTTGTAACAGTTAGCTTAAAGATAATCAATGAAGGTTTTTATAGTTAGCATAATGTAACAGATAAATTGTAGAAAAGGTAGCTAAAACAATTGCTGAATTGTTAAAGAGTACAATTTAAAAGTGACAACAACTTGGTAGAAATGTTTAGCTCGAAGCATTTGGAAAAACAGTTTGAAAAGTTAGCTTAAACAGATAAGTGGTCAAAATGGTTAGCTGAGAGCAATGGATAAAAGGTTGAAATTTCATGTTTAAAGCATGTGATTAATGGTTGAAATTGTCAGCTCAAAGCTAATGTTAAGTATTAGCCCTACATGTTTTGTGTGTAGGAAATGAATAAGTTGTCAAAACAGTTTGTATAAAGTAATGTTTGAATGGTCAAATAGTTAGCTTCAAGCATTATACATGCCAAAAACAAGTTAAGCCTAAAACTCTAGATAAATCCTTTAAAGATTTAACTTTTCAGTGTTGAATAAATTGTTGGAATAGAGAACTGAAGCAAGAAATTACTGAAATAGTTGGCTTCAAGAAAGGCATAGATATATGAAAGAGTTAACATCAAGGAACAATTCACTGAACGAATTGGTGAGGCAATTTGTTTATTTTTTTATAGCCTTAAATTATATAATCAATAGCTTCCAATTTAGTACCAATATAGTATGCAAGTATACAAATTTAAAACATGAAAGGTTGTGCTGTTGAAGTGATTCTTGGTTTCATCGGACAGGACAGTGGGGGGTACATGTGACAATTTTTTAAATATATAGAATTTCAAAAGGAGACAATGATAAATGATATTCCCCCTGTATGCTGACTCTTTAATCAGTTCAAGGGACTCATGGCGCAAATATATATAATTAACAACATGCTTCATATTAAACGCAGTGTAATCTGGATCAAACCAACCTTGTGCCAACCAGAGCAGATTGGCAAAAGAAGGAGGAGGGGGACCGGGTTGTTCTTTTGCTTTACTGCCAACTGTACATTTGCTGTATTTCATGGTCTTTCTGCACGTCTCTGTAGAAGCAGCCCAGACAGTAAAATCAATTGGCCAAAGTCGGTGGAGTTTTGGATGAGTTTTAAACTGCATCATGGGGGTGATAAAAATCGAGTCCAGCGGTGGCTTGTCGTTGTTTTTGTTGGCGCCTTTATGGGACCCATAAAAACCTCTGCAGTAATCTCCCTATCTCTTTCATCTCTGCCTACAGGCAAACAGACATGTCCTCCGGAGAAATTTGACTGTGGGGGAGCCACCAACAAGTGTGTCTCGCTGTCATGGAGATGTGACGGGGAGAAAGATTGTGAGAACGGAGCGGACGAGGAGGATTGTGCGTCTGGTGAGTCTGCCATGACAGAAACACAAACAAGTCATTACAATAATCGCATTTTTTGCTGGGTATTTTATAAGTAGATATGACATTTGTGAAAATCGACCTTACGAGCTCACAGTCAATATAATAAGAACTCTTATTTCTCCCTTTTTGAATTGTGAGAGGTTTCCTCCGTTCTGATCTCACTTATCATCCTGCAGCTGAGACATTAAAGGCACAGCAGGGAATACTCTTTATAATTAAAAGGATTGGAAATAAGGTTTGAGTGTGAAGCCAGCTGTACTCCACGACAGAGTCCCTTTTGAAGTGGAGTGATTTTTTTTTGTGAGGAGTATCGCATATCTGCAGCTTTCCGTTCACATTTCTAGGTGTCTGTCATCACATTTTGAACCTCGAGTCTTTAGCCTTTCTCCAAAAATGACATCACTTTATACTCAGCCAATCAACAACTCAACTGTGTGCTGCCCCCACCCCCAACCCCCCGCAGGGACTATCCTTGCCCTACTTCTGAGGCGCTGTGAAGAATTGGCTTCTTCTTTTCTCTCCCTCTTTCCCTCTCTCTTTCCTCTTCATGTCAAGAAAAATTGATTGAGGCAACCGAGCTGTGGGGAGTGTGGTGTCAAGACTTTGAAGATTGTCTAAAATGGCAAGTGTTGGAAAATTCTGAGGGAGGGAAAAAAATGGCATCTTGTTATTATCCTATATAAATTATGTTGTTCTTTTTTCAGCTATTTCCTGCCTGATACATTGTCTGAATGTGTGGGTGTCTACAAAATGAGAGGCTGCTTTCTTAGAAATTCATGTTCTTGTTAAGAATTCCCATAATTTTCTCTCATTATTCTACAAGGAAGTCAAAACATTTGGCATAAAATGAAAATATAAACCTGAGGCTTCAAGGAGATACCTCTTCTCCTTGAAAGGTTACCTGAAAGGTCAGAATTTATATGATAAAAAATGGTAATGTTTTGCCAGATTAGCCTGCAAGTGGCTTGTCATTGTTTTCTGTCTCAGTTGCTCCATACACTCACGCCAGAGCAAGTGGAAGTGATTCCATTGACTAGGTCTAATGCCTTTCTAGCTTAGATGGCTTTTCACTTGGCTGTCCATTGAGACCCAGTCTAGCCTGCGCTAATCCTTTTTTGCAGTCTAATGTCTGTATTGATGCAGTAGTCCTAAGCCTCTCAGTCATGACATGAGGGCGGGCAGCAGTCTAACGCCCACCCAGGCAAAGGCTTGAGGTGAACATTGACCAGGAGGGAAAAGCTGAGTCTGACACCAGCGCTGCACAGAGTTAGATATGATCACAAATTAGATTAATTAAGTGATGCTCAGGCCAGCTTATCTGTAGACTGATTAGGCCAGACGCCAGATTGGAAGATGATGTTTCCAACAAGGGCTAGACGCTTTTAAAGACCTCACTGCAAGTCAATCAGACACGCCCGTGTAGTGGTGCCTGAAGAAGTGGGTATACTCTTAAATTTTCCCCAAAATGTTTTTTTTGTAAGAAAAAACGTGATGTGATGACTTCTAAATGTGTACAGAGGCCAGGAGTCTCATGCCCCGTAATGGGGTTTTGTAAGGGCATTTACTGTTATTTGGGTCCTATTTTTATTTTTTATTTTTTAAGATTTATTTTAGGTTTTTTTCTGCATTTATTGGAGAGTTAGAATGGGGGATAGATTAGGAAATCAGGGCGCTAGAGAGTGGGGAATGACATGCGGGTCAGATTTGAACCTGGGCTGCCCGCTCGGAGGACTACAGCCTCCACACATGGGGGCGCGCACTAACCACTGCGCCACCAGCTCCCCTACGGGTCCTATTCTGACAGTGTGTAGTGCATAGTCAGTGTTTCCCCTACCATTATAATAGGGGGGACGGGGTTGGCCCCCCAACAGTCAATGTTAAGCATACTCAAAATAGGAACATGCCACCTTTACACTACCTGGCTACTGGGTGGGAAAATGAAAACTGCAGCAGGTGGCAAAGACACCTGTGCTGCACGCCAAGACTTGGTTAATGACTGAAAGACTGTATAAATGCAACCCTTAAAGAAGTGTATTTCACAGAATTACAGTCTGGCATAGATGATAAATTGCCTTCTGTGTCAGTAAGTCTGCGTGCTGCAACTCTTAACCACTTTACACCAAAGTCTTCAGATCTTTCACATTCACAGTCAGAGAGTGAGGTGAGGGAGAAGTGGGGGAAATTACAGATTGGTTTGTCTCAGTGTGTCTGTTCTTAGCGGGCTAGCTGCTGGCTAAGGGGCAGCTGGAGAATTCACTTCAAAGTAAAGCGGTAACTAAGCTGTATGTTTGGGTTTAGAGGGAGAGGATAAATGAGTGAAAAAGTGTATAATGATACAGCAGCCGTCGGAGCGAATCGAGAATAAAGCTAATTTATGAACATTGTATGTATGTAATTGAGTTTTCCTCCCTCAGCCAAGTTTACGGTTGGAGTTTACGGTTTAGCTGCACACCTCGGTTAATGTTGCATCAAACAAACTGCGGGTGCAGATATTCAAATACTAAAGCACAGATAGACATGCAGTGTGCAAAGTGAGTGATGAAAAGCTCTTATGAGGAGTTCTGGGATACATGTCCGATGCAAAATAAATCCTACATACATGGCCGTTTTTCCAATTTTGTCCCTATAGTCAGACTCAACTTTCACTTCCCCTTTTTCACGTGATCTTCTATAAAGCAGTTGGATATTGAATCCTTATATGACACACAATCAAAATGCGTACTTTTGTCTGATTAAGCATTAAACTTGTAAAAACTAAACAAATCTATCCTCACTATTCTGGACTTAACCAACAAGCTTTTTAATTGAAATGCAGCAAACTGATTGTTGTGGTTGTGAAGCACCCTGAACCCCTTTCCCGCTCCTATCCCACTTGAATTTGTGAGAGGATTCCCAAGCTTAATCCTCCGTACAATAAGCAAAAGCTTCAAATCGACTTCCCACTCTCACTTGTATTTACCCAAATGTGGGTAGAGGGGTTGCATCCCTCAAAACTGACAGAGCTTAACGCACCCAGTTGGCCCCAGCGTGCTCTGCTATTAGTAGAAATTTACAGAGTGCAGAGCAAGCTGCAGACCTTAAAAGTAAATCCTGCAGAGACATCCTGCTAATTGAGTCATCCACAGTTTGAATTATGTATCAAGTAGATGTAGCTCCACCAGAGGAAGCTTTCCCAGGTCATCATTACATTAAGAATCAGTTCTAGTGGCTCCACAAGAAGATTTAACTCAGAGATGTGGAGATGTATTCGACAGCTTCCTTTACCTCTTACATCTCTTCTCCTGTCCCTGTAGTGAAACCTAACTGGCAGATATGGTTTCCCCCCCAAGATGAAAATGCACACAGGAACGTTCTGCTAATCGGATTTGAGACAGGTTTGTAATTAAGCTAAACATGGAGGCTTTTTGTTTTATCTCAGCGTTCATACCTTTCTCCTTTGCCCTCAGTTGGCCTATCAGTCACTAATGATTTGAGAGCAGAGGTTAAAACACTCCCATCTTATCCTCTATTATCTTCTATGGTCTTTACTGTAGATGGATGACATGTTTCCTCTCTATTACAGCCCAGTTTTCGCTGTAATTGTGTGTGTGGCATTACAGGAAAGGTCAGCAGTCGAGCTATTTCCCCTGTGAGGTACCATGACCCGTCTCAACTGGCAGGCAGGCAGTGTGTGTGTGTGTTTGCGTGTGTTTCTACCTTCCCAGATTTGTCTTTGCGTGCGTGTGTTCCAGTGACCTTGCTGCAGCGACTGCAATGGACTGTAGCTCTGCGAGTAGACAGGTCTCAACTGTCCTTTCAGTTTAAATCTATGAATATGTAAGGGAAAGCTGGGGGACGTTTAGCTGCATTGACATTGACTGATGTGCTCAGAGGAAGCTTTGTGTGTGTACAGATTTAAAAACAAATGTGCTTCTTATTCATGCTTGCACACAACCTGGAAGTTTACATTTTTTCTCAGATCATGTTTGCTCTTAAAAGGTGCCATAAAGATAGACTTTATTTACTTGCTCACTACTTCCATACCATGCCATACCATAACACATGATACCATAACATACCATGCCATGCCATACCATAACACATGATACCGTAACATACCATAACATGCCATGCCATGCCATACCATAACACACGATACCATACCATATAATACACTTTATTGTCCCCATACGTACATTTTTCTTGGACTCTGATGCTGCACACATTCAGCTTCCTCTACAGTAGTAATGGCAAGAAATTCCTTCGGGATTAATAAAGTTCCATCTTATCTTATCGTCTCCCTTATCTGGAAAACAAAACAAACAAACAGCAATCAACATGTACGTAAATAGAGCAGCACATACCATTGACAACTTCACATATGTGGAGCAACAGACTGAGATGGCCAAGAAGCTAGCATGGTTAAAACCCTTTGATTTGAGCATTGTGTACTGCCAGATGTAAAACATTAAAAGGTTGTGTAGAATAATTAAAAATACAGCCCTTCATATATGTGTTCATGCATAAGATATATCGTACATACTGTAAACACATGGATGCATACTGTATGGTGTTTTAATCTGCTAAAAACAAATCTTTATATAAAAAACACAGAATAGAAAAAAATGTACTCAACAAACTGAGTAAAATGCTGGAGCCTTTTGCAGGTTATTTATCATTTAAAGCACACTGACTAGTACATCATTGTACGCAGGCAAACTATGTGCTCAAAATTACTCAGAAGTCTAAAATTCACTTACCCAGAGCCACCCAAAGGAGAACAAAGTCCCTCTCCAATGTAACCAGGCCACTCATGTACTTTACTAATAGCATGCCCCATGTGTCAAAATGAACATGTCTATTGAATATCCTTAATTATTTAGGGGCAGATTAGTATGGAATGAGGGTAGAGACATAACAAGGACAGGAGAACATATCTAAATCAGATGGAGCTTGTTTACTTTTAATGAATAGAAACTCTTTGAATGGTTTCTCATTTCAGCTGCTCTCCCAGTGTGCTGCTGTGTTAGTCATGTATGTACCAGTGAATTCATTACACACGGATGTTTACATATGGTGTAACTACATAAGATATTAATTAGGACACTATCTTGCGTCCACTGTTTGCTCCCCCAGTTAAACTCTGCAGCACGGTGGAAGGCTTCGTTTATTCCAACCTATGATTTTACTTTTTGTTTGCTTTCATTGTACAAGCACTAAACAGCAGCTACTCGCATTGATGCCTTTGGTTTATACTTTCAACATTTTAAATTAGTTTATTCAGTTGACAATTTACTTTATTTCTTTTCAACCTTTATTTAAACAAAATCTTTTTTTTAACAAAAGAGAAAATACAACATAAAAGAATAACTAACAGACTATAACAAACAGAATTAACACAAATAAATGACTAACAGTAGATATGTGCATTAACTGGTCAAATGATCCTGTATCCTGTTTAGTAATCTTCCCAACTAATAAAACAATCCCGTTTAAGGCGACCCTTTTGGAGAAAAATGCTCAAAGCACTTTTACCAAAGAGAGCGATTAACATGTTTCCTTGTGACCTAAGGATGCAGCTGCTGAGAGGTTTAGGAGTCAGTTGGGAACATAAATAAAAAGGCAGGTTAATTAAAATGCCCCTTTTTAAAAGAAACATGTATATTGCTACATTTTACAGTTTTGTAGGGGGATAACAAACTTTTACACACAAAGAAGCAATACAAGAAACAAACGACAATACCACACAATACACTGAGTCAAATATTTTCAGTGAAGCTCAGAAGCCTTACATAAAGAACATACCCAAGTCGATTAGTGATGAAAGAAAACATCGCTTGTGTTAGTTTTGTGCTTGCAATGGAAGAATAAAAGCATTTGTTTTTACAGAAGAATCCTCATTTCTCTGAAGAGCCAAAGGCATCGGTGTGAAGCTGGACCTCCCTGCCGTTTGTGTGTAGATATCAGATTCTGCCTCTCCCTGTGTTGGCCTCAGTGCTCCCACAAGCTCACAGTGGGAGCCCTGACTCCGTTCACAGCCTGAGTGCTTTTGGCCAGACATTATAGACAGAGAAAGCTGGGAAGAGGTGGAGAGAGAATGAGAAAGGGATTTACATAAACCTCCAGGTTGGCGTGTGAAAAAAAGGAGACATCAGGACAAAGTTTTACTTCTGAAGTAAACACATTTCCAAGTAGTGAGGGACAAAGTAAATCTGCTTTCACACATATTTGGTTAGGAACAGATTCTGACTTTATGAAACAAGTTCATAAATACTGTATTTTGCCTTGGATTGTGTTGCGACAACCAAAAAATAACCACTTCAAAGACTCATGCTATTGTCGGACTCTTTTAAAATCATTCATTTGGACCCGCTCACGTTAACCACGTCAGAAACCTGCAAATCTGTTGTACCTTCAGTCGTCCTCGACACTAATTCATTGATTTGATAACAACAGAAAATGCAATTGAATTCTCGCATAAAGAGAGCCTCTGATTTAATAATTGACTCCATTTTTTGGTACTTTCAGCTTTTAAATATTTTCGTATCATTTTTTTATCACACTTATTTTTTACAAGTGTGATCAGTGGTAAAGGTGCCAATGGTTACATGTTCATTAAATATTGTTCATGGTCCCTTTGCAGATTAAAAAACACAGATATTAGAAGTGTAAATGAGGGCATTCATTGATGAGTTCAAATGAACCATAATAGCAGAGTGACACTTTGATTGTTTGTAGATTTGAAGTAGTTTGAGTTTTTTTTTTTTTCCTTATGTCTTGAATGTACTTTAGTGCTGCTGGTTCATTGTTCTTTCTCTTTTTGTCTTTGGGAGGTAAAGTCAGATAAATCTTATATAAGTGCATATGTGCTTCAGGTCTTTACTTGGTGGCCTTTAAACTTTAGAGAGTGTGTAAAACAATACAAAAATATGTATTCTAAGTTTGTGACACGGCAGAATACTGTGTTGTTAACCAACAGGGCAAATTTCAGCAATGTACACAAATCCCTGAGAATAAAGTTTCAAAATGATGAATTATGAAGCAGTAATGTCTGCTCAGGGATGCTGTGGGCATGTCTGTTGAATGTGACTAAACCACGGCCACATACAGGAAAGATGCACCCTCTCCCCAGTCAAAACCTGCTATTCAGATTCATCTAACTCTGGCCTCCAGGGAAGACGCACATGCAGAATGAAGGCATAGCTAGCTACACTGCAGATTGTGATTTTGAAACTTGAAGTAAGTCTTATCAAGTAGAAGAACGGAAGATGCTAAAGTGCTCAGTCATTATTCTTTACAAGGGGAGATGGATTATGCTTAAGGAACCCCCATGTGTCATTGAACCCCCCCCCCCCATTAGGCCCCAACTATAGAGAAGACAAACTTTCTAAAGGTCTTAATCTATCATTCAAACATAGTTCTCAGTCTTTTCATGATTATAGCAACTTTTTCCCAAATATATATATTTATATGTTAAGAGACCAATTTCTGATTTAGCTTGACACAGACTTTAAATTAGTTTGAGCACTAGCATGTAGGCATTTATTCATACAATACAGAATACCTCCTTCACTATAGAAAACAAAAATAAGCCAGAGAGAAGACAAGCAAAACAAACACTCTCTACAGACAGATATCTTCTGAGAGTGAAGGAAATACTATTACACCGATCCTTCACAGAGTGGAGAAGGAGCAGCTGATGGAAGTGGGAGCTCTTTTATCGCTCACGCTACAGGAGGGAAAACCTCTCACCAGCCTTTGTTGAAAATCACCATCATCCCCTCTCCCCCTGTCCGGCTCTCTTTCCATCCCTACCCCACTTTAAAGACCAATATTGACTTTCAGCCCTCATGAGAAACTCTATCACCCTCACCGTGTGGGCCCTCATATTTGAAGCTAATTTAAGCCAAGAAGTTTCTCGCCTCTGCTCATACTTTTTCTATTATAAAGTTACCTACAGCTGCAGCCAGTGTTGAAGCTTCATCTTTGATTAAATGCACATACAGCAAAAACTTAAACACTGGGAGGCATTTTTTTCGGTGTGTAACTGTGAAATTGCCTGTTACGTTAAGGTTCATTTTAAAGCCTTTAGACTTATTCATTACATTTTATTTTTCAGCAATTTACCAAGTTGTCAGAAGATGACCAATCTGTACATTAAAATGAATCCTCTGCTTCAGTGTTTTTACAGAAAGGCCTTCACCTGATCCTCAAATTTCACATAGATTTGTCTTCTTTTCTACTTTACTCCTAGATGCCAAAGCCTGCCCGACCGGTGAGTTCATGTGTGCCAACCGCAAGTGCTTGGCTCAGGTCTTCGTGTGCGACGGAGACGACGACTGCGGAGACGGCAGTGACGAGCTCAAATGTACTTCCCCTCTTACCTGCGGGCCCAACCACCTCCGCTGTAACACTTCTGAGTGTGTGCCACTCATGTGGAGCTGCGATGGAGATCCCGATTGTTCCGACAGCTCTGATGAGGGGCCTGAACGCTGCGGTGGGGACGGGGTCCCGTACCGCCGGGCAAACTGCACTGATGGGGAGTTTCGCTGTGCAAACGGGGAGTGTGTGCGGTTGACGTGGAAGTGTGACGGGGATCCGGACTGCAAGGACAAATCTGATGAATCTGACTGCCGTAAGTTGCTCTTTCTGTCTCATTTCCTTGCATCTCTGCAACCGCTCCCTCTCTCTCTTTCTTTCTTTCTTGCAAGGCCTTGACGTTCTTTTATCTTATCAGGGCAGTCTTTCTATTCACTGTTAAAGCTGTCTTTTCAGATTATATTGTTGCAGGGTAACACAGCTCTGTCTGAAGCTGAGTTGAAGGATAGTGTCAGTACAACAGAGAATAATACATATGTAACCATGGATCTCTGAAGGAGCTGCGTCTCATTTACAAGCTTATGTACATACAGTGCTGAGCAGGTTTTTCGAGCATGTAGTATAATGGGAACGTTAACTTAAAAAGCAGGCATCTATACTGCTAATGTTGTTTTTGAGTTTGCCTCAATGCACTTCATGAGAAAATGAGTTGCTATCCACATCCATAGGCTGTATAGAGACCTTATATAAGAAGTAGACGTACTCGTGGATTCAGAAGAGAAGGCAGTGAAGAGTTACTCATGTCTGCAATCTTTCTAATGGGCAACTAGTAGTAAAAAGGATTCCAATGTATGAAACTAGATGAGAAAATGACCCAACTCCTCTCTTGATTTGTTACCTCATTAAACCAATCTGAACGAGCGTATAATCTCAGTCGTTGGTTTAGAATCTTCTCCAATACAGCAGGAAGTTCATGTTGTAACTTAAATCCCAATTGTAAAATAGACAATAAAGAAAGGCATGATTTTGGGCGGGTCTACACCTGATTGACAAGCCACAACCAAGGGTGGCTTTCAAGGATAGAGATGTAACCGTAATGTGTATTAACCCTGACGTCCAAATGTAGTCACTCCTGGATCCAAACAACCAAGATGGCAACAGGCTCCCAGCCTTCCAAAAGCCCTCACACCCATGCATGACGTCTTGGTGGCTTCTTCCACTTCTTCTATACAGTTTAGGTTTGGATCTGAAAAACAAATCTTTAGAGAGAATTTGACTTCTGTGATGTTGGAAAAGAAAGTGTGATTAGTTTTGTCAACACAGATGTAACGGCAGTTACATTTTATACAGAATGCTAAATCACACTAAAGTCCTTTAACCAACGCTTCAGAGAGAGCAAACTGACAATTTATTAAGAGTGTGATGTTACAGATAGTGGATCATTTTAAGAAGTGTGGTTTCCTGTTTTTTTAGAAATATTTAATTTTTCTTCATTCGACCACATAGATATAAGAACCCTGTAGAGATTTTAGAATGATTTATTTCACACTGCTTGTTTAAAGATATCTTCAGAATTAATCAAATTCCAACACATTCAGAAGTAATTAGAAGGAAGGTCAGCTTTACTATTACATTGTGTTTGTGTGAACTGCATGTTTCGATGTCTCGAGTACTGAAGAGAAGAAATAAATCACAAACAAATAACATTTCCTTCCACCATTGAGGTGTTACTTTGTCATTTAGCACATTGTCTTCTCTGCTGGGAGCTGGTGTAGGGTTTGTTTTTTTCCTCTTAATGTGTCTGCTGAAGAATGTGTTTGTGTTGATAAACACTGTGTGAAGATGGGGCCTTGAGATAAAACAGGTTTTCCTATTAGCTGGTCATGGATGGGCGAGCCCTGGAGCTCATGTCTCACTAAGCCCGAGTGTGAAGCCCAGATAGTCCCTCTATTCATTATCAAGATGTGTGCTGCACACATCAAACCAATTCTTGCTCTCTGTGGTGTCATATAAGCAGCACTTACAAGAGAGTGATGTTTTTTTTACACAACGGGATCCCTGGGTTAAGAGAGACGAGGATGCTTGACTTCAAGTTGCCACAGTCTCTTCCTTTACTATATTCACATACTCTAATGTAAAAATCAAGTGCGTAGAGGCCGTGCATTCACATCTCCTGTTCTCTGAAAGCGAGGAGTCTAAATGGTTACAACGGTTCAAAAAATGACTTGAGGAAAAATCAGTCCTGTCTCCCTTTGTAGCTCACAAAGAAGCATCAGTATTGATTTAAGTCTGTTTCATAACCAGCTACTGTAAAAACTTTAAAAAAATATATTACACTTCATTTTTTGGCAGTTTCACTCCTAAATTCTGAAAAGTCACACAACAGTCAGTAAAATTAAAACCTTGATTAATTATTTAAGGTAAATGGTAAATTGACTTTTCTAGTCTTCTATCTAGTCAAAGCGCTTTTTACACCGCATGTCACACCTACCCATTCACACACTGATGTCAGAGGTTGCGATGCAAAGTGACCATCAGAAGTAACGAATTCAATTCCGATTCATACATAGTGAAACCCCGCTGACGAAGCAGCGAGAGCAACTTGGGGTTAAGTGTCTTGCCCAAGGACACATCGGACATGTGGCTGAAGAGCTGGGGATCAAACCCCCAACCTTCCGGTTGAGAGACGACCAACTCTAACAACTGAGTGTGAAAATGACCAGATAAAAAAATGTTGAGAGGTCGGATGGGACCTAGGGACCACAAATTGAAAAGATTTTGTATCCCCATGAAATTAAAGACAATGTCATCATGATTCAGCTATATATTAAAGACATGGCTTTTTGTCTGTTTTTATGAATATGCAATGAATACATAAATATATGAACACTGTATAACGTGTTCTCTATGTGTTTTACATCTATCACCCCCCACCCGACCCAGCTCATCTTGTGATAACACTAAATCATATCGCCCTCAGTCATATATATTGCTTTTCAGTGTGGTTTAGGAAGAGTTATACGAGCACAGTGGGCTCCGTTGATGAAAAGCGTGTCTGTTCTTGGGATATTAATGAAATTTGCCGTTGCTTCTTGCCGCCTCCATCTTTGCATTACTATATTGAAAATCATTCATCACATGCCCTCAGGTTGACTGTCTCTGTCCCACACAGCATCTTACAAAATCTGTGAAAAGCACTACTGTATGTCATTTCATGTCAAGGATTTTCATTATACGAGCCTTAGAGCAGCATGTCTTATTAGGTAGTCAAAGGAAAGAAACTTGTGAAAAACTGATGAAGTGTAATGCAACACAAGGTCTTGTGTTGGTTTTGACCCTGGGATGCTGTGTTCCTTTTGAAGGGATTAAAGGGGATTTACATGTCCAATATCACATGTGTTTACAAGTCTATGTGTGTGTGTGTGTGTGTGCAGCCCTGTTGACGTGTCGTCCAGATGAGTTCCAGTGCGGCGATGGTTCCTGCATCCACGGCACCAAACAGTGTAACAAGGTCCACGACTGTCCTGACCACAGCGATGAATCTGGCTGTGTGAACGGTGGGTCCATCTGTCGTCTGTGTGCATGTGAAGCTGCCTGAACCTGTTCCCCTCACTGCCTGTTCACCTGTAGCCTTCTTTCATGCAAATGTCTGTTTGAATCTGTCTTTTAATTTGTTTTTGTTTTTTGCTGCTACTTATACTTGATTTGTGAAACATTTTAAATCAAGGTCATTGTTTTAGCTATGGAACCTCAGTGATCCGTAACGTATGGTGTAACTCAACCTCCCAGGTGAATTTGAAGTAGTACACAGGGACTTTAAGAATGTAGCGTTTCTGATATTTCATTCCTACATTCCTGCTTTAAAATGTTTTGCCAGCTTGTTGCCTGAGTTAGAGTCTAATTTAAGATTGTTCAAAACAATGAAAACTTGATGAATGATAAAATATACAGCGCTTTACTGTTTGGATTCTAAGGATTTAAGTTGTGGTTGATATGAAGACACCTGTGGTGACGGGTGTTTCACGAGAAGCTTCTTTGTCAGAGAAAGAAAAGAGAAACAACTGGTGTATTTCTCAGCGGTGCAGCGAACAGCTTCAGGCTGTTATTTGAAGAAAGTCAATCAGAAATATAATTTTAGCACAATCTGATTTAATGCATATATCCAGATATTACTTAACAGATGTTTCTATAGCAACAGGTTGCCAATTACTCTTCATCTAACAGCTCTCTGGCTGCTTGTCAAAACTCAATTTCTGTCAAAAAAATGTAGAAAATGTTTTATCATTTTGTATATAAATGTATTTTGTGTTGTTGTGTTAGCTGGTGTGACCATTGCATTACATTTCCTAGCAGCTTCATGAAGTGCCTTATTGTCTTTTGCATAAGAAAGTGGAAAAATCATTTAATTAACATTAGCAGCAACTTAAAGCTCTGGTAAAGAAAATGAACATTTAGCATCCTGCTATCAATGAGCTAAAGTAAGGCTAACAAACACTGAGCTGCCTTTTGTGGATACCAAAGGCATAATCATTAATATTACATCTGTATGTGAGAGGTAGACAGTGCCACTAACAACATCTAATTTAGAAAGAAAGCCAATAAATAGCAGGATTGAACTCATTATAGAACTTAAATACATTGAATGCAGAACTTCTGACCTTAAAGAGCATCAAATCTATGGTTTCATTCTTGTAAATCTTTATGGGTTGTGATTGATTGATTTTGTGTAAATAAGTAGTGTGTGATGTCTCTGGATATTAACCATCATAAAATTAATTGCTGTAATTTTTTTATTACTGGATCATGTTCAGTGCTGCTGTGCTTTTGTATCAACTCATTACACGTTCCTCTCATCTGCCTGTGATACATATTTTTCCAGCGTACTGCAAATTACTTCGCAGGGAAATTAAGCCTAATCACTGTGAAACTGGACCAATTTAAAGTTTCTATTACACCAGGGTTTTAATGTGGGGAAATATGCATATCTGAGTTTACTATCACTTGTTTCATGCAAGCCTTCAATAATTTGCTGAACCACAGGAGGCTTTCACACTGTTTTTTGATGCTTCTTAGGCCAATAAATGTTCCAGGCGATCAAAGAGTGGACGCTGATTCATCTTCTGCTTGTTTGTTGCAGCCACCAAATGTGAGGGACCCCTGAAGTTTCTGTGTAAGAATGGCGAGTGTATTGACAGCTCTAAAGTGTGTGACTCTATGAAGGACTGCAAGGACCGATCAGACGAGCCGAAGAAAGAGTGCGGTAAGAAGAGTTTTTTTTTTTTTAAAACACAGTGTTGACATTGTTTACGGTCCACCGAACAGATTCAGATGAGAGAATAGGAGTTGAGAGATGATGTCGCAGAGCAGACTGCACTTTCATGAAGATGTCTGTTTATTGAGAACAATGTAAAGTATTGAAAGATGATGGCAAATTGGTCCTGGGGGTGAATTATCGACGATGCTTTCCTCCCTTTTCTTCTCCACTTGAACTTGTTTCCTGTATACAGCCTTAGCTTAGCCACTGAGACATCCGTAGTGGAAGCTACTTCTCTGACTACAGCGGAAACCAGAACACTTCCAACCACCAAAAATCACCTCCACTGAGATTGCATTTAACTGCAGAACCCGTGAATAGAGATGTGGACAATGACACCCCTTCAGTCTGTCTAATGTCTTTGTCCTTCTAGGAAAGCATTAACTTGTAATAAAAAATAACACGAAAGGAAAAGTCTGAAAACTTGTTACATAAAAATTATGTGATGAAGAAAGTCTCCCCTTAGGACGGACTCTTTTATTAAAAAAACAGTGATAGATAGTGGTGACTGCTATCACAACACTATGACCTTAAAGGTTTGATATCACAGAAGTAAAGTGACATGGCCTCGAGTATCATGAAGATATCGATTCCTCTCACTCATCAGCTGTTGACAAACTCGCTTTAAATTTAAAGTTTATTTATTGCCCTCAACTGGTTTGTTTACACATAAAAGCTTTTCCATCATGTCCCCTGAGTAAGAGACGAGGATACTGTGTCAGCAGAGCTTTGCCTCTGCCCTGTGCAGTGAGGGGAACATGTACACATCTATTGTAAATGGATTCAAGCAGTTAATGTAGCAGCGTAATCGTGTTTGCCATAACAAAATGTGACTACCTCTCTTCTATTACCTTGCATTTCAAAGACTTTGGAGGCGCACTTAAAACAGCAGCAGCCTCTGTTGATCGGAACATGAGCCTGCACGTACTAATTACCATCAAATAGTAGAAAAGGGCTTCTTCTTCTTCTGCTCTGTGATAATCTCTCGCATACAGTATGTGTTTATCTCTTCGCCTATTTTAATAATCAAAAGTACATGAAATTGCTGTCTTATTCAAGCAGCATAAACTTGATCTTCAGTAGACCTAACAGGAAAAAGACATCGCACCAAAAACAGGTTTTCAAGACTGAAATGTCCCTCTGTCTCCTTGTATCTCCTCCCCACTCTCCTTCAACTCAGGTCTTGTTCACAGCTCATTAAAAGCGTGTCCACACACACCTCGCTCATCGCTCTGCTCGCTCAACCGTTTACTCGCAAGATGTTCCCTCGGCCAAAACACACAGAGAAAAAACTACAGACACAGTAACGCTGCTTGCTGCGGTGAAAAACATTTATACCTAGATGTTCCATGTGATTGCGTTTGCTGCATCAGCCTTACATTAGGGGGAAATAAAAACAATGCCACTGTGTGTGTGTGTGTGTGTGTGTGTGCAAACCAATGTTTCCAATCTCATTAGAAATAATGGCATATTACCTCATTACTTGGCACACCATTCATTTCTTAACTCTGACTGCACCATCACGTTTCACTTGCACAGGCTGAAAATAGGTTGTACATAACGACCTACCATGGTGAGAGAGAGAGAGAGAGAGAAAGAGGGATAGAGGTGGAGCAGAGAAGGAGAGACGCCATGTTTGTTTGCCCGGGGGAGAAAAGGGAGTGACCTCCAAATCATGGCTGTCCTTGAAAGGGGACTGGGGAAAAAAGCTGTCACACACGGCCTCTCCTGGGGCATCTTTGTTGCCCACCCTCTCAGAGAAACAAGGAAGGAGTGAGATGTCAAATACAGCTTCATCTCGGTCTGCAGTTAATTCTGAGCTGACATGAAGGGAGTGAGCAGGAGCGACTGTGAGTGGCAGATTGCTGTCAGCCGTCCAGCTGAATTAGAGATGGGAATTTAATGTAGTGCCCAAAGTCTGCTAGCACTTTTACAAAGCAAAGAACATTCTCCAACAAAAGTAACCTTCACTCGATCTTTGGAGAGTCAACTTTATCTTTTCTTTATTTTTGTTTCAGTAGTTAGAGAATCATTTTGTGTAGCTTTGCAAAAAAAAAAAAAAACATTTCTCAAAGCTCCAGAGAAAATGTGAACAGGTCATTCTACATCCCTGAAGTCTGAGTAGTTGTGTCTGTTTTGTGTCTTATTGCAGAACACAAAGACCACACAATGAGAATCTGCTTTAGCATCTTTTAACTTTAATTTTTGAGATATAAAGTATTCACAGGGCCTCGTTTCAGAGATCCTCCTGTGTCGTGTGTAACACTGAAAAGACTCTAAATGACACTTCATGGAATGAGGAAAGCTTCAGTCTGAAACTGTAAGAGGTTTCAATACATGGGCAATAAGATGCAATACTATGATGTGATATAATAACCTAACACAAGTTACTATATAATGTGAAACCAAATGCACAATACAACCTAATATGATGAGGGACAATCAGATGCAACGCTATGGGGTGTGGTATGTTACGATACACATGAAAATGGGTCTTGAACTCAAGTACTGCACACATTTAGTTGCCTCCATAGTAATTTTTTGACTTTTATACAATTATTAAAAATAACTTTTTGTTCTCTCGATGTCTTTTTTTCAGTAGCCAGACTTTCAATCCTAAATCTGATTTCTGGACAATAGCTGAAGTCTGCAGTCGGTCAGCTTAGCTCAGCACAAACACACAAAACATGGGGAAACTGCTTAAGTCAATAAATGTCTCTTTTCTTCGTCTCTAAAGACACCGATTAACACCTACAGTATATTCTTAAATTTGGACATGTTGTGATGTACAGTAAGGGGTAGTAGCTTCCTTGTTTCCTAGTGGCCTTGAGGCTGCTAAAAAGAAAAAAGTAGAATTTTGTTCTGCTATTTACAGTGTATTAGTCAAAAAATACTCCACATAAAGTGATCAAAGGAAAGACACATTTTCCCAGGGAGAGGTCCAACAGGAAGACAAGGTATTGTTAGAAAAACAAACAAAAACAAAAACTCCAGCAGTTTGTGAAGTTAACTTTCTGTCTTTTTTTTTTAAAGCCAATAAACAGATATTTACTTCCATAGGAAGAAGCAAGTAAACCTGTTAGGAAGTGAAACATTGAAAGTGTCAGCCTTTACCCTTTTACTTATGTTCACAGAACACTAAAGGGGCTCAGGTAATTATCCTCAAAGGGAACTGTTACAGAGTTTTGTGGTGAGAAAATAAAAACAATACAGTGATGATATCAAATGGGATTATTTGTTTAGTTAGTTTGTATAAATACAGTCTGGGAGTTGCTGTTGCTCTCCTTTGCTTCAGGCCGACCGTTGACTATCTCACACATACTGTACAGTAGCTCTGTCTATTGACAAATGTGTAACACTACACTAGTTATGATGTTGTTGACAGAATCAAACACTCTCGTATTGAGGAGTGCTCGTTCTCTTCCACTTCAATCCATTTCTTCTCTTTATCAGCTCTTTCCAGCTCTCATTGTGCGTCTGTGCTCAATTGTGTGTGTAAAAAGCAAAGTGTGTGTGCCGTTGAATAAAAATTCAGAAAGAATTACTTTTAGGTGATCCAAGCTTTCACTCAATGGGCCTCCCTTCTATAATTCTTTGAAACAATAGTTTATTTTTTCCTTTTGTTGAACCAAACATGCAGAGTGAGCTGAAAAGCTGCTTCAGTCCAGGCATCAAAACAAATACTAAAATGTGACTTCATGTAACAGCTGGCTCGATGATGCTTTTAATATTCTCAGATGT